TCCTAAACGGCTTGTTGGAGCTCCTGCCCCCCCCCTCCCTGTGAGCCCAGTGTGCTCTGATTGGTTGGGACGTTGCGAGGCTTGCTGCTGCGAGGATTGAACAGGTTTCTGGGCCGGCGATACTGAGGGACACAGCTAAACTCATCCTGAGCACACACAAACACTCACAGCCGAAGTAAAAACAATAAGTGTGGCTTGATATTGAGTAAGAAAAAGGTTTATAACGCTGTGAGAATAGGTCTGCGGAGAGCATTTCAACTCGTCTATTACCAGCGTTCAGGGAGCTCTATGCAAGTCAATGGGGACTCCTTGTTAGTTAGCCAAGGGAGCCTGGTGTGTGAGGTGCACCGCGGATTGGTCCGGTCATTTGTTGTTGATTTGGGTGTTCACACGTCAGAGAACCCAGGAAGCAAACAATGGAAAATGAGAAATCTCCAACGAGGCGTTCTGGGGCAGCATAGACAGGTATTTTCTGTGTTAGAGTTTTACTCGCTACAGAGTGTACTTTGAGGGTTTGTGACTTTGCAGACCGTTTACATGCAGAAAAACCTTCATAACACACAAGGGGACGGGTAATAACTGGAAAAGCAGGACATGGGCCCTTTAAAAACATTGTTTGGTTTTAGTGTAAGGTTTTCTTACTGATGGCCAAAACAAAACAACTCTACAGTAAAAATAACTGAATGTATTAATATGCAAATATTGTTCATTTTCTTTAGCTTAAAAGTGTGTCAACTATACACAAAATGTCTTACACTGCATTCTGGATACTCAGTGTGTATGCCAAAAATGTCCAACTCAAAGAAAAGGAGGAAAGTAGGATGGAAGATATGTGAATTGTTTACTGACATGTGTTAATATAAATGTGTTGAAGTTCAAATGGACAAGGGGAATTTGTGCTAATATAGTTTGTTGGTAAATAATATGTATGAAATCAATACAAAATATAGATTCAAATTTTAGGCAGAGTTTGCTTCTCCGTCTTTGGCCAATGCAGAACTCTACCAGGATCTCAAATATAATATATGATATCCAAAATTAAAAAGGTTGTTTTAGTTTGTTTCAGGCATTTTCAAATGTAAAATGTAGAAAAGCAAAAATGTGTAAGTAGCTTTTCAAAAGTATGTTTCATTTGTAACTTGTGTTCTTTGTATCATTTCAGGAGGTGGATGTTCAGTTACCAAATTATGAAATCATGTGTATGATCAGAGACTTCAAAGACAGTCTTGACTGCAGGCCTTTGACCAGCAATGATCTGGTAAGTCTGGTTTAAAGACACATTTCCAAGTTCAGTGTCAAGTGGTTTGTTTCATCTAATGGGGAAATAAAGATAGAGTCGAAAACTGAAGACATATCGGGTGGCCTTCACCTGCTGAGAACTTATACATGTACCTTTACTTTAAATTGTTACAGATCGAGGAGCACAGGATATGCGTGTGTGTACGTGCCCGACCCCTCAATAAAAAAGGTACGTTTATATAATCAGTGTGTTTAGATAGAAATCCAATGAAATGTTATGCAGATTTTCATCTGCTTCTAAACATTTCAATGGTTTCCATGGTTTCCATTTCCATTTCCATTCAGTCACAGTAAAGGACATGTTCTTTTTAGCCTTTGTTTACCCATTAATAAAACAATTGTCCATGTGTCTCTTCAGAGTTGACAATGAAGGATTTGGATGTGATCACCATTCCCAGTAAGGATGTGGTGATGGTCCATGAGCCCAAGCAGAAAGTAGACCTGACCCGCTACCTGGAGAACCAAACTTTCCGGTTCGACTACACCTTTGATGAGAGCTCCACCAATGAAATGGTTTACAGGTGATTTTCTTTGTAAACCAAAGTGAAATCATATGGGATTATAACAAACTTTACATAACAAAAAGTGGAGGTAAAAATGACTTCATGAAATAGAAGTTGACTGATCTCTATTGAGAAATAACAATTAATTATTGCAGAAGTATTTATTTAATGTTGAACACTTTAAATCCCCATAGTTTCCTGCTTGCTAACAAAAGCTCTTCTTTCAGGTTCACTGCTCAGCCTCTGGTTGAAACAATCTTTGAGCGAGGAATGGCAACTTGCTTTGCATACGGACAAACTGGAAGTGGGAAAACACATGTGAGCGCTTTAATTTGAACCTTATTATATATATATATATACAGTATATATATACCATTCCTGTTTTAACACATATCTCCCTTTCAGACGATGGGAGGGGACTTTTCTGGAAAGAACCAAGACTGCTCTAAAGGGATCTATGCACTGTCTGGTCAGTTTCTCCTATACATTACTTCTACATTAACTTCACTACTGATAGCTGCATCTGAGTGAATTCTGGTCTTTCATTTTCTTTCTTCTTGCAGCAAGAGATGTCTTTCTCATGATAAAGAAGCCAAATTACAAGAAGTTGGATCTCCAAATCTTTGCGACATTTTTTGAAATTTACAGCGGGAAGGCAAGTGTCTTTTAACACAACATGAAATGTATTTATTTAGAAGAGATTTCTGAATGTGCCTTATTTCAATTTGGCTTAATGCTTCTACCAGAACTGCCGGACGAAAATAACTAATGCCATCATTTTCTACTTTCCTATTCGTTTTGAAAAGGTGTTTGACCTGCTTAACCGCAAAACCAAGTTACGGGTCCTGGAGGACGGCAAGCAGCAGGTGCAGGTGGTCGGGCTGCATGAGAGGGAGGTGAAGTGCACAGAGGAGGTCCTCAAACTCATCGAAATCGGAAACAGCTGCAGGTAGTACGATCTTATAAGAAAGACACAGCAGTATGAACAGAAGTTTGTTCTGAAAGTTAGGACTGGTCTTCATGTCTTCGTCTGCGTCTCCTTAAGGACTTCTGGTCAGACCTCGGCGAATGCTCACTCTTCTCGGAGCCATGCCGTCTTCCAGATCATTCTGCGCCGGCGGGGGAAGATGCACGGAAAGTTCTCCCTTATTGATCTGGCGGGGAACGAAAGAGGGGCGGACACATCCAGCGCTGACCGACAGACTCGCCTCGAAGGAGCCGAGATCAACAAGAGCCTGCTGGCACTAAAGGTCTCCTCTTCACTACCTAGATGTATCCTGTGCTTAGCTTTAAATCCTGTTTGGGTTGTGGAGGTTACTCCGTTTTTAAGTGCGACATTGTTTATAACAAAGATTTTGTGTCTTTCCATCCATCAGTCTCAGTTCGTGAACACAATATTTCATTTATCTAATCCTAACAATTTAAGGGAATTATTCAAATTGGTATCGCAGCCTGCTCCTCTCTGCCTGCCTGCCGCTGCGCTCTGCCTCTATCCACACAACTTTTCCCCGCCTTTCAGAGACTTATTACTGGGTCAAACTCTAAGTTACAAACTGTACACATTGCATTCTTGCTAATTAGCCAAAATATGAACGGAATAAGTAGCAAGCATCGTAACAAACAGAGTGAAATAAATAGGGACAACAGCTTGTCAACTAACCATTCAGAAACGTCCTGCTGCAACCGAGATGTTTGCACCTCCACCAAAACCTCCGCTGCTTCAGGGTCAGTTTCTGGATCAAATTGATAATATGCTTGAACACATGCATTGCTCTGAGATGACATGTTTATTCCACACTCGTAATCACAGCAAGCATGGTAACGTGACTCTCGCCGGCTCATGCCCCCCTCTTCTGCAGGGGGGCGTGGTCAGCTGCTGCTCATAATTTTCAAAGACAGGCTTGGAATAGAGCGAAAATGAGCGAAACGAGGCATGGCTAAAAAATGAGTTTGGTATTTTGAAAAATAAAATATATCTTATATAGGTATGGTCATACACCATATCATTTAAATATAGCATGATAGGTCTCCTTTAAGGTGAACTGATTTAAATGTGGTGGTCAAAGGTCAAGACCTATGTAACCACTATATGATATTAAAAAAGCTGCAAATTCACACATTTGGGAATGTACCAAAGTACATTTTATATAGTTAAGCGATTATCAAA